AATATTATATAGTTCTGACTCTGGGGATAGTGAACATAGTTCTAGTGAAATGGTAGTAACAGTTTCGACCCCAAAAATTTCATAGAATAGAGATTTCATATATGTAATTTTTATTAAGTTCTAATAAAGCGGTATATAATAAAATTTTTTCTTGGCAAATTTCGTTTACGGGCTATGAAGGAAAATCACATGATTTTTACCGCAAAATGAAATAGTAAAAAATTTATTATCTGTATCATGAAAAACGTGATCCTGTATTAATGGTTAATATTTCTAGCCGATCTGCCAGATGAGACACAATTCGCGTGAATATTTCTAGTAGATTTCTTGGTGATGCTATGATACTTATCTAATACAGGTCTATCTTTTTGGAATTTCATATGGAATTCCATTTTTTGAGCAATATATAAATATAATGGTGTTTAACCAAGCATATTCTGACTTGTTAGCGAAATTACCAGCTTCCCTAATAAATGAGGCATGGATACGTCTTTTATCACGGAAGCGTAATCCATTATCTGAGAAAGAGGCTAGCGAAATTAATCCAATTGTAGAATCGTTTTTAAAACATGAAGCTATTAGATATCAGAAAAGACTGGCATAATCGAAATTCTTATATAAGCGTTTTCACGTGCCGAATTCTTGCTGTTTGGCGCAGAATCACTCTTGCGATAAAAAAATCGAGGTAAAAAATAAGCAATAATTTCAATTCACACTTACCACTACAATTCGTTTTCATAGCATTCCATTCCGCCTCATATTCAAGAAATTTGTTGCTTAATGTGTTAGGATATTTCAGTTGCTAATCTCCGGAATTTATGATTTAGATTCGAAATTTTTCAACTCGGAAGAGTTCTCTTGCGGAAATAATCTTTTACGTAGTCTGTGTGGGTGGGAGTGATATGCATAAGCGTAGATATGGGTGGGATTACATATTTCGGAAATCTAGTGCAATAAAGGAGTGTGGGGCTTAGAATCTTGTAGTTAGTAATAGATGTAGAAACAAATTATCTGTAGAAATTATTCTGAGAGCAAAGAAATAACTTGATGCTGGGACTCGGCATAGGATCCGCGTACTCCCTCCCTCTTGATACATTTTATTTGCTTCTCTAATATTTTATGATGAAAAATCAATAATAAAGTTTCGTCCACTTCAGCGCATTTGTATAATTTTTTTCTTTGCAAAAAATCGAGGTTACCCGAAACCTTCTCCGGATAACATAAGGTCACTGTTTTTGTCACAAAAAGTCATTTCGAAGACAGTACCAGAGGCAGACGTATCCCCTCGGGTTTTACAGGCCGAAGAAACGCTGGATATAGGAACCAGAACCTTATGCATCTTTTGAAAGCTACTATACAGTCATTTCGAAGACAGTACCAGAGGCAGACGTATCCCCTCGGGTTTTACAAGCCGAAGAAATGCCGGGTTTATGTGCAAAAGGTTTGAAAAATAAACTACTTATCGCAAGCCACATAGTAATATCAGGTTACACATCGGTGAAACCAAAATGACATTTAAAAACTTTTACTGACACCGTGACGCGTTAGTTACTTCTTCGTGACTTTATCATAATTATCATGGTTTATATCAATATAATCGAATAGTTCACAGAATTTTTTAATTGTGGCTCGATATTAATATAATATATTTATACTGTTTATGTCTGCAGGCTTATGAAAATTATGTTAATTTGCTAAAAGGAATATTGTCAACATCTGATAATTTCAGTGCTATTAAATTTTTCAAAATAGCTTATTTTACGGCCTCCCAAAGAAAAATGGCAGAGGAAACTTTGCTCGAAACATTAAAAATCGTTGAAATGGAAGATTGCGTGTATTCTGCAACAGCTAAAAGACTTATCGGCCATTTTAACGAGATGATCAACTCTTTCGATGCACAAAAGTTTTGGGATAGCCTCAACGTTCGAGAAGAGAAATCTAAAACTCAAACTGCACAAGTTATTTTGCAAGAGAAAGAAGTCAGTTATCTACGCTCTAGATAAGCTTAGCTGTTAGTGAAGTTGTTAGTAACGTCATTTTTTTGCAAACTACCTAGGAACAGAATGCTTGTCAAGTAAGGATCGGTGCGTTAGATGCGAATATCCAGAAATTAACGAGAAAAAGACAAGGTGAGGAATTACCTTCGACACCGCCAAATAAGGTCAGCATACTATATCAAATTTAGCTAGCAAAATCATCTATTAACTTTTTTGACATGCATGCATAGACTAGAGCCATTAACAC